AAGCAAAAACTGATATAATTGATCTCTAGCAGACCGACAATAAAGAAAATACTTCTTTGGGCAGAAGGAAAATCATTCCTAATGGAAGATCAACTATTCAAGAAAGAAAGAAGAGCAATGAGAAAGGTAAATAAATATGTGGGTATATCTAAATGAAAGTTGATTAAATATAATAATGATCATATCTTGTGTAATTTAAATATTATTAGAAGACAATTCTTTATAGGCCTCTCTGCATGATTTGTGAGCAAGGGCACTGAAAGTTTTGTTTCAGACTATTTTTTTTTTTTTTTTTTTTGAGACGGAGTCTCGCTCTGTCGCCCAGGCTGGAGTGCAGTGGAGCAATCTCGGCTCACTGCAAGCTCCGCCTCCCGGGTTCACGCCATTCTCTTGCCTCAGCCTCCCGAGTAGCTGGACTACAGGCACCCGCCACTGCGCCCGGCTAATTTTTTCTATTTTTAGTAGAGACGGGGTTTCACCATGGTCTCGATCTCCTGACCTTGTGATCCGCCCGCCTCGGCCTTGCAAAGTGCTGGGTGGGATTACAGGCGTGAGCCACCGCGCCCGGCCTGTTTCAGACTATTTTTAATGAATATTTGTACAGCAAGGAGCTTTGGGGTAGAGATAGTGCCTCCCTTCAAAGCAGAGTAAGTTCGTCCGCTCAGGATTTCTTAGTTATGATTCAAATGCACTATGTGCCTAGTATCTACCTGGACCACTCCATGTCACCCCAATGGGCTTTGGGGGGTGAGGAGAATTGACACAAACACAAAGCTCACATTTCTTCCTGTGCCATGAGTAATAATGTCCTTCATCTTTGATTCAGGAATGTCGTAGCTTCTGCCTGCATCCCTGAAATTATGGCAGGCTTACTTGCTAGCTTGCAAGTAGAGTAAAATCCCATATCTTTCATAGTTCTTGACAAATATGTGAGTAGAATTAAAATACACAACACTACCATGTAAGCATATATATTACATTGAAGTGAGGTTTAGTAAAGAAATGTAAATTGACTTAACTTTTGAAAATTAACCAATGTAATTCATCACACTTGCAGAATAAAAGAGAAAAATGATTTCATCTCAAAAGATGCAGAAATATCTTTTAATAATTTCAATACTCGGGGCTGGGTGTGGTGGCTCACTCCTGTAATCCCAGCACTTTGGGAGGCCGAGGCAGGCAGATCACGAGGTCAGGAGATCGAGACCATCCTGGCTAACACAGTGAAACCCCGTCTCTACTAAAAATACAAAACATTAGCCAGGCGAGGTGGCAGGCGCCTGTTGTCCCAGCTAGTGGGGAGGCTGAGACAGGAGAATGGCGTGAACCCAGGCGGCGGACCTTGCCATGAGCCGAGATTGCACCACCGCACTCCAGCCTGGGTGACACAGCGAGACTTCGTCTAAAAAAAATAAATAAATAAATAATAATAATAATAATTTCAATACTCATAAATGATTTTCAACTTCTAGCAAATTAGAAATAGATAGGCACCAGGTGTGCTAGCTATCTAATCCCAGCACTTTGGCAGGCTGAGGCATGTGGGTTGCTTGAGCTCAAGAGTTCGAGATCAGCCTGGGTAACATGGTGAAACCCCATCTCTATCAAAAATACAAAAAATTAGCTGAGCATGGTGGCATGCACCTGTGGTCCCAGCTACTTAGGAGGCTGAGGTGGGAGGATCACTTGAGTCTAGGAGGTGGCGGTTACAGTGAGCTGAGCTCACACCACTGTACTCCAACCTGGGTGACAGAGGTGACACCATCTCAAAAAAAATAAAGAAAAAGAAATGGATAAGAACTTTCCTAATCTGCAAAAGGCATCTAAAATGACCCAGAGAACGCATCAGTTGTATTTACACATCAGCAGCATTTACAAAATATAAGTTCGAAAATATAAAATTCACAACATCATAAAAATTAAAATGCCTAGAGCCAATCAAGATGTGCAAGGTCTTTTTATTTATTTATTTATTTTGAGATGGAGTCTTGCTCTGTTGTCCAGGCTGGAGTGCCATGACATGATCTCGGCTTACTGCAGCATCTGCCTCCTGGGTTCAAGTGATTCTCTTGTCTCAGTTTCCCGAGTAACTGGGACTACAAGCGCACACCACCATGCCTGGCTAACATTTGAATTTTTAGTGGAGATGGTGTTTCACCATGTTGGTCAGGTTAGTCTTGAACTCCTGACCTCAAGTGATTCATCCACTTCGGCCTCCCAAAGTGCTGGGATTACAGGCCTGAACCACTGCACCTGGCCATGTGCAAGATCTTTATGCATAAATATATCAAATATTATTAAGAGAAGTTTTTATAGGCCAAAATCAACAGAGGGATACGTCATGTTCATGAACTGGAAGACTCAACACTATAAAAATATCATTTTCTCCAAACTGATTTTGATCCTAATCAAAATCCCAAAAGAGCTTGCACGCATGCATGTGTGTGCATGTATAACTAAACAAGTTATGTGTGGTCGAAGGCCACTATTGACTATCTACTCTCTCTCTGGCTTATACAGGGACTACGATTGTAAAGTCATAGCATATCTGTGTAATGGCAAAAAAGTTGTTTGTTCATATGATTTCATGTGTAATTTATAAACATGAGATGGACTTAATGTATTGCATAATATTTTGGAGGTTTAAAATGTTGCCATTTCTAAACCTAGTTTACCAGGATTGTTAAAACTCTTGTTGTTGGGGATTTTGTGAAAAATTTAAAAATAATTTATTTTATGTTATAGTCAAGAAAAACACAGTTTTCTCCTTTGACCAAAAAAAAAAAAAAAAAAAAACCCTAAAGTCATTATAGTTAAATATTGCTATGTCTATAAAACTTTTATATTAATCATATGCTGGCCAGCTGATAGAAAACTGGCCAGTATTTCTGTACAGGAATGCCAAGAATAAAATTTCATAAGGCCTTTACTTCCAATGAAAAATAATAGTTTATTATCAATTTAGAATGTATATTGGGGAATTTAGATATTAGGAATTTTTAATTCAAATAAAATTTTAGTTCTTTCCTTTGAGGTAGAAAATTATCATTATTATTAACACTATTAACTGTACCTTGGCAGTTGTCTTATTTATTAACTAGATTCCAGATCTAAATATCTTATGTCCAATCTCCTCAACTACAACCCCCAAAGCTGCCTTAAACAGTTAAAGAAAAATTTTTCACAGACCAAATTCTGTATGCCTTGTAGTGGGATGCAAAGAGGTATGTTATATCAATGGTGTGCTAGAGCTTCCGTAAACTGATTTATGAGAACCAGTTAAGAGCGTGTCTTTCCGACTCCACATTTAGTGACGTCATATTGATAATTTGAAATCAGTCATGGTAGACAGGAGTAGTTATGCCACAGAAATGGGTGAACACAATAAATCAGGGTTTGTTGTTGTTGTTTTACCTGGAAGAGCTGTCTGTTAGACATTACCAGTATACAATTATGTTATGTGAAGAAAAAAAGAAAAGGAAACACGGAAGTGGTTTTAGTTATAGAAAGGCCATGGAATTTGAAAATGGAGTTCAGAATGACTTGTCAGATTCAGAATTGGAAAATATTCAAAGTTTCATATATTTATGTATTTATTTATTTAAAGACAGAGTCTCTCTCTGTCCCCCAGGCTGAGTTGCGCCATCTCAGCTCACTGAAACCTCTGCCTCCTGGGCTCAAGCGATTTTCCTGCCTCGTCTACAGGAAAAGCGATTTTCCTGTAGTCTCCCAAATAGCTGGGACCATACGTGTGTGTCGCCATGCCCAGCTAATTTTTGTATTTTTTGTAGAGATGGGATTTCGCCATGTTGGTCAGGCTGGTCTGAAACTCCTGACTTAAAGTGATCTGCCCACCTCGGCCTCCCAAAATGCTGGGATTACAGGAGTGAGCCACCGTGCCTGGCCGTGTGATCCTATTTTTGATCAAGCATTTGAAACCTTTATTTTTACAGACTTCCCCAAATCAAATTCTCAATTTAAGTCTTTTTAACCTTGAACTAACTTTGAGATGTTCCACAGGGTTCTAGAACTTTTCAAATGATGTGTAAAAGAAGTATTAAACTGAAGTAGGCTTATTTCATACATTAAATTATATGAGAAATATTGTCAAATAAGAAATGTTTAACCTTCTTTGAGTTATATTTGTATGGATATATTATTAATATGTGCTCCAAAATTGTAGGAGATTTCAAAAATTATGATGTTGTAAGTCATAATTTTGGTTATTATGTTCCAATTTTGTACACCACAGGAAAAAACAAATTTCCTTGTCAAGTGAGTCACTACAGACTCTCATCAGATTTCGAACCATGGCCATTTTATGTCTTGTTGCCTGCAGTTAATTGCTTTGTTCTGATGCTTTTCTGAAAGCTTTTTGCAAGCAACTATACTCTTACAGCATTGTATCTTCAAGGAGGTTCATGAAAAGAATGGAAAGAATTCTGACAAGTTCAGGTTTCTGATAACTGAGATATTATTAAACTGGGTAAGAATTTCTAAAACTCTAGTGAAAAAACATGGGGTTGGGCATGGTGGCTCACACCTGTAATCCAAGCACTTTGGGAGGCTGAGGTGGGCAGATCACTTGAGGTCAGGAGTTCATGACCAGCCTGGATGGACAACATGGCGAAACCCCGTCTCTACTAAAAAAAATACAAAAATTAGGCTGGTGTGGTGGCGCTGTAATCCCAGCTACTTGGGGGGTTGAGGTACAAGAATTGCTTGAACTCAGGAGGCAGAGGTTGCAGTAAGCCGAAATAGCACCACTGCACTCCAACCTCAGCAACGGAGAGAATCTCTGTTTCAAAACAACAACAGCAACAATAACAACAAAAACTGATGGGTTTGTGAAGCTGCTAACCAAGATTAAACAGAGCAAACGTTAATTACATTAGACTGAATTAACTGATGAAGACAACATATGAGGTTTTATGGCTTTTAAAAATTTGAGCCAATGCTGGTTCTTTTTATGTTTTGTTTTTCAAATTTAAGGAATTTTTCTTTTCAGCTATGTACAGCTTACAGCAATTTGATAAAGTATTCTTTTGTACATAAAATGGAAACATTTGCTTTTCTTCCCTACTTGATCTCTCCAAAGTTCAGAAACTATTGGTGAGTATTCTTATTTTTATGTCAAATATGAGTATTTACATAAGTTCAATAAGAATTTAACTGTATCCTTTAACAAGATACAGTTGAAATATTGAATATATTATTACTAAGGCTTTGACTGGAATGTCATATTTGAAAATGTGCATAGAATGCCTGGCTTCGGGAGTTCCCAACCCTTCAGAGAGTGAGTAAAAAGTTGTCACTTCTTGGCAGGCCAGAGAACATCAAGATATTACAAGATATTACTGTAGGCAAAGTCTGATATCTGCTTTGGTTTGACTTCCTAGTGTCAAGAGGTTTTTAAAAGTCCAAATTTAGCTTCCTTGTGAAAATTTACAGCAAAGCAAATTTAAAAAGAGTGAGCTTATGTGGCTATTCTTGCTATACTTATGTAAATATCAGGCCAAGTTTGAGGCTAAACTTATTTTACAAACGTATTGGTCTTACCATGATTATCTTTAATAAAAACGGGGGTGACTGTAGAGAGAAAAATTATGTTTCAGAAGAAAAGTACAGTACATCTGTTATTTGATTGTAGACCTGTTTATTGCTTTTGAGTTTTTATGATCTATCTGTAGACTGGATTCCAAATTCTTTCTAGTTTCCTCTAGCATCTGGGTACAACTCTTCAACAAAGAATAAGAACTGCTCTGTTCCTGAAACCCTATGGCCAAAGTTGGACGATTCAATATACATTCCAAGGGACAAGTCTCATGCCTGATGTTTGAGCCACATAGATAGTTTGTCAGAATGTCTGATGCCACAACTGAAGATACTCAAACTGCAAACTAGGATAAGTCGCTGACTTCATGCTGTGGATAGCTTATCACAAAACCAGAGGAACAAGACTCCATATCATAGTAAGACTCTTACCCTTCTTATTTTTCTTTAATAATTTTTTTCTTTTATATTTTGTAAAGATGGGGCCTCACCACGTTGCCCAGGCTGGTCTAAAATGCCTGAGCTCAGACAATTCTTACCCTTCTTAATTTTCGTTATTTATGCTTACCTCTTTCACTTGACAGGATAATGCTGTAGTTAGAATTTCAGTCAGTAGTTTTTGTGAGTAACTTAACAAAGCATTGGATCTGTCATGCCAAATCCTTTTTTTTTTTTTTTTTTTTAAAGAAGTAGGGTTTTGCTATGTTGCCCAGGCTGGAGTGCAGTGGCTATTCACAGGCATAATCATGGCACATTACAACCTTAAACTGGGCACAAGCAATCCTTCCACCTCAGCCTCCTGAGTAGCTGGGAATTTAGGAATGCACCACCGTGCCTGGCTCAAACCTAAACCTTTACAGGACTTAAGAGATCTTTGAGTATACCTAACGGGTAACATTAGCAACATTCCTAACATGATGTTTGTTCAAATTGTACTAGTGGTCTCTTTTACAGAGTTAGTACTCTCTGCTTTAATCTGACATTTTCCTGTGTTGCTAGATGATAGAATTGCTGCCTACTATTTACTGAACAGGGAGGAATCTGTGCAGTTGATGACACTTCTTGTTGCACATAGATAAATACATAGGGTATTGTGGACATTCAGTTGCAAACAGTTAATGATCAGGCTACTTGGTTAAAATGGGTAGATTCCTCATCTGATTCATTCTTTGATCTATTCAATTTTAGGTGGTTCAACTCATCAAGACCCTGGCTTAGGAGCATACTCCAAACTCTTGGTAATATCTTCCTAATAGTTATACAAATAGTCTCCCTGGTGCATTATGTCATCTTAAAAAGTTTTAACTTTTTGCAAACAGCTATCTGTCGAATATCAAATGGTTTTCCTTCAGCCCAAAGAAATGCATTTTCATGAGAACACTGTAACCTACCAATGACAGGTTGAGAATGGAAACCCAGAATGATGGTAACTAAGAGTAGTGTTAATATCTTTCGTTTTGATTTAAAAATTTTTTTTTTAATTTTTAATTTTCATTGTTTCGTGATGGAGTCTTGCTCTTGTTGCCCAGGCTGGAATGCAGTGGCGTGATCTCAGCTCACTGCAGCCTCAGTCTCCCGGGTTCAAGTGTTCCTCCTGCCTCAGCCTCCCAAGTAGCTGGGATTACAGGTGCCCGCCACCATGCCCGGCTAATTTCTTGTATTTTTAGTAGAGATGGGGTTTTACCATGTTGGCCAGGCTGGTCTCAAACTCCTGACATCAGGTGATCTGCCTGTCTTGGCCTCCCAAAGTGCTGGGATTACAGGCATGAGCCACTGCACCCAGCCAATGCCTTTAGTTTTGATCACACTCTCATCTGGGGGAGAACCTCATCAAAAGAGGGAAATTGTTAAACAAACAGAGGAGGTCATTAACTCCTGCACTAGGCCCCAGCAGATTAGACTAGAAATGATAAATGGAGTCACCCACACTCACCAAATTAAAACTGAGTTATTATCTGGTCTTCCATGAAATCAAGAGGGACAAATAGCTTAATTTTTCTAACAGGTCTGTTGCAATCTTCAATTGGCATGATAATGAAGTTCCTCTTGTTTTAATCCTTATGCTAAAGAGTGATCTGAAGTAAACTGGTGTTAACCAATCAGTTATCTCTCTATTATTCTGTGTCCCTGTCCCTGTCTTACAAGGAAAGTAACTTTGAAATGATCTATCTCTTTTTGTTCTTTTTGTCTGCCTTCTTCAGCTCATTTTCTATCTATAAAGCCAACCTCCTCAGCCCAACTCATTGGAACACTTATTCTATTTTATGGCATGGAGTGTTGCCTGATTCTAGAATCACAACTAAGCCATTTGAAATCTTTAAACTGAATTTATTGTAATTTTATCTTCTGACACTACCTATTACTCTGTTCCTAGGAACACAGATCTCATGAAAATTGTCTGTATGTGATTACCAATTTTTTATTGCTGTATCTGGCATATAGCTATTATTTCTACCTAGTAGTTTTAGTGGCATTTGTTTCCCATGTGGTTTCTTCAGGAAGTTTATTTCCAATATGTCCTTCATTTCTTTTCTTCATTCATCTTCCTTTAGCCTTTGTTTGCTCTATGAGAGGAACGTAGACTCCGGAACTAACAAAGGAAATAGAAATGTACAAATAGTATTTCCAATACAAGAGTCCATGTGACCTTTAAGAAGAGTCCAAGCTCAATTGGCTGAAAAGTTTTCTGTGGGAAAAGCATTTTCCCAAGGTCAGGAGAGTTCAAAGAACACAGCAAACTTTGTGGAGCATGCCAATTAATTCTGTAAAAATTGTTTTTTTGTGTGTGCAAAGACATAGGGCTTGGCTGGTCATTCTGGTCTCCAGATGGTCACAGGATGCAGCCAGTAATGACCATGGAACATCCTGAAACTGATTATTAGTTTAATCAAGCAACATAGTCTCATTTGTTTGCATGTACGAGAAAGTTTGACAAAAATTTGGACTATGCTCTCTGTCATCCCTACTACTACTCCACACTAAGTGACCATCATTTTCTGGCTGGATTATTGTAATGACTTCCTAACTAGTCACCTCTTTAACAATCTTGCTTCTCTGAAATCTATTCACAATGCAGCTGGAGAGGTCATTTTAAAATCTACATTGGATTTTGTCACTCCCAGCTTTAGAAATGTCCTTCGCTTCCCATGGTAGTTAGAATAGCATGAAAAAAGCTTTACCATGGCCTGCAAGCTCCTTCATGGCTGGCACCCCACCTCTCTTCTCCATTTGTTTTTTCCACCATCCCTCAAATTTCCAGCAATCTTAGCTGGTTTCATGCCACTGTCCCTTTGGCCCAGTGCCCCAGCCACAGGGCTTCTTGTGGTCCCTCAAAAGCCCACCCAAATTCCTTCTTATCCTAGGGCTTTTCCATGTGCTCTTCTTTCTCCCTAAAACATGCTCCTCCTTCATAATTCAGTGCTACACATACTGTTTGAGGTATCTCTTTAAGGGTGGTAGCAGGCAGCCAGCAGTGGTCACTTTTACCTGGCCAGGCTGGTAGTGCTCCATGAAGGAGGTGATTCTCAAGCTTGAAGTTGAGGGAGCATTCATAGGCAGACAAGTGGGACAAAAGGGTAATCTCAGCAGAGGGAACAGACTAGATTAAAATATGGAAGGCAGGAAACGATTGGGATAAAAGTAATGATGACATTTGTTAAAATAAGGACAAAAGACTGAGGAGGAAGTTTTGAGAGAAAGATGAACTCTGCTTCTGTTGAGTTTGATTTCTCTGGGACTTCAAGATGGAGAGAAGAATAGGCAATTGGATATGTGGGGAAGGATTTGGACTAGTTGTCTAAAAAGGTAGAGGAGGACATGTAGATCTAAAAGTTACCAGCACAATTTCCCAGGGAAAACTTTTAGAGTAATACAAAAAGAAACACCAACATTTAAAAAGCAGGCACCAGGCCAGGCATGGTGGCTCATGCCTGTAATCCTAGCATTTTGGGAGGCTGAGGCAGGTGGATCATGAGGACAGGAGATGGAGACGATCCTGGCTAACACAGTGAAACCCCGTCTCTACTAAAAATACAAAAAATTACCAGGCGTGGTGGCGGGTGCCTGCAGTCCGAGCTACTCAGGAGGCTGAGGCAGGAGAATGGCATGAATTCGAGAGGCAGAGCTGGCATCGCACCACTGCACTCCAGCCTGGGCGACAGAGTGAGACTCTGTCTCAAAAAAAACAGGCACCAGTAATGAAGACAAGAAATGGTCAGAAGAGTTGATGTCTCTGAAAGCGAGGAGGGGGAGAGTTTCAAGTTATCCATAGCAAAAACATAGATAATTTAATGTGAGAACTAAAAGGACTTTAAGGTATTTAGCAATAGGAAAGTCGTGGATGAGCTTTGCCAGGGAAATGTGGGAAACTGAGATGTGAGGAAAGTAGCTGGAGATTGGGGAGAAACTGGAATATCAAGAAACGTAGCTGGAGATTGAAGACCATTCTTCTGTGGAGTTTGGCTGTGAAAGAGGAGAGAGGGAGCAGAGGAACAGAGTGGTTCCTGTGAACCCCTATGAAGTGGGTACAGAACTATGATGTGGGTACAGGGTTGAGTTAAATTGTTTTATTTGTATGTTTTAGATTAGATAAGGCTAATGGTTTTATAGGCAGAAGGAAGGTAAGATTGAAATATGATATTTGAGAAAACAATTTATGAAACAAAATATTGCAAGAGAGGGTAGGGAATCTGCTTTTGAAACTAAGAAGAATTTAGTAGAGGAACAAACTCTGAGATGGGTAGAAAAGAGAAAAGAGTCACGGCCTGGTTATGCAGCTGTTGTCTGCAATTTTCCTCTGTGAGGTAGGAGCTGTGGCCACTGCTAAGAGGCTAGACAACGTGGTAAGTTGCTGCCTCATCTCACCAACTTAGCTGAGATACCTGTTGGTACAAAATCATAGTGGTTTTACACGTCAAGGGTTCATGGCTATGAAGACTGGGCCTACATATAAAATAAAATATTCAAGGCTGTGATATTCCTGCAGATGTGTGCACATGGTCTGATCTGGTCTCTCCTGGCCCAGCAATAGGGATGCAAGGCCAGAGAAGATTTGAAGGTCAAGGATGTGAAAGTAGCTGCAACAGCAGGTGAGATCCTCTCTGAGTGTAAATGTCAGACCCTCACAGTGACTAACTATCAGGCCTGGATACCACGTTTTTCTTTTCAGTAGAGTGATTTAGGAATCAGTTACACTTCTAGGGACTATCTGATAATGCTTGTCTGTACCTCATATTTGAGCTAATAAACATTGTCAAATAACTGTTTAAGTTTGAATGGAGTGAGAACTTTTAGGGAAGGGTAATGCATGTAATTGCCTATTATCATAATAAAAGGCTATGCTGCACCTATACTTCTCCCTGGGGAATAACAACTGAAACATCTGTTTAAAAATATATATCGGCCGGGCGCGGTGGCTCAAGCCTGTAATCCCAGCACTTTGGGAGGCCGAGACGGGCGGATCACGAGGTCAGGAGATCGAGACCATCTCCTGGCTAACACGGTGAAACCCCGTCCTACCAAAAAAGACAAAAAACTAGGCGGGGGTGGCGGGGGCTGTAGTCCCAGCTACCCGGGAGGCTGAGGCAGGAGAATGGCGGGAACCCGGGAGGCGGAGCTTGCAGTGAGTGAGATCTGGCCACTGCACTCCAGCCTTGGCGACAGAGCGGAGACTCCGGTTTCAAAAAAAATAAAAAAAAAAAAAAAAAATATATATATATATATATATCCAGTGCACTTCGCATATGTTTATCAGGTATATTTGATTTAAATCAAAAGACTTTAGGTGGAAGTAATTCTTCACTCCTTGTATCTGTGAACATATAATTATCTCTTTCTCCTTGCAGCAGTACTAACACTGCCTTCAGTGTTTTGTAATCTAAGTTTTTGTTATTTTGGCCTTTTTTCTTTTGCCTCTAACTTTTTGTCTTTGCTTACGTTTTTCTGCTGAGTTAACAGCGTCCCAGGCACAAAGTAAGCACCAGATAAGTACCTGCTGATTGACTGACCCAAATCCTAAAGCAGGCTGCTTTAGTCTCAGGGTAGAATCAGGAAAATGATGTTGCCAATTTAAACCTATCTTCCTGGTGGCTTCAAGCCACCCATTCATGGCTAAGTAGTGTTTGTGTGAGCAACTGCCTTGCAGCACTGCTCCAAGTGGCCATGCTCTTGCTATGAGGACCATAGAGGGTAGAATTTACTAAAGTATAGAAATGTTTAGCTTGGGTTTTCTTTCTCTCTA